GGAGAAGGGGAAATGCTCTCCCTATTGAGAACTACTTCTGCAAGAAACTTCTTTGCGTTTCACCTTGCGGTGTTCCTCTTAGTAACCTTCATCCTCTTCCAGCCAGGCTTTCCATATCTCTGGTCATTGCACAGTGGTGCTTGCTGGTGGGGAATGGGGTGTGCAACAGCAGAGGTAAATTCTGTACCTATGACTGAATCCTCTCTTGCCCCATTCCTTCATGGCTCTTGAACACACCTGGGCACATTTCTGCCCACACTCCTTCACCTCAGTGCGGCTAAGAAGCATTGGCTTTGGGCTGCTGAAGGCTCCAAGGGGCAGGCTATCACTCTGCTGATTCCATTCCCAAGATGTTTTGTCCATTCCCTGAGGTATTGAAGTGAGAATTCTGTTACTTCTGGACATTACACTCACTTAGACATGCTAGGCTGGGTTGCACACCTAGAGAGAGACCAGAGAGGAGGCTAAGAAAGGGGGGAAATTTCTTCTCAAACCAAGCAGTATAAGGAGAAAGAGCACAGCCAACCAGCCTGAGGAATGACTACCACTGACTGTCAGAGTGAGCTGGGACAGAGGGAGAGAGAAAGACGGCGCCACTCCTTGCGCATGGGAACCTATGGGTATATAGCTGAGGACTGCAACACTTGCAGTATCTGGGACCCTTCCTGAAAACAGACTTGCAAATGAGCTCACCAAGGTACCCCAAGCTGGTATCCCCTGCCTGCATGGGACTTCTTCAGCACTGGAGTTCTCTCTTCAGCACTGTTGCTTTCCTGCCCCTTAAGTCTTTGAGCCTCTCATTCCAGCATTTGGCAGGAGCGTCTCTGGCACAAAGGGCATTTCAGAAATGAGGAAATGAAAAGGAGTCAATGAAGGAAACCAAATTAAAAGCTGTGTGATTAGGAATGGTCTTCTTGATTTAAGATGAGTCTCTTGGAAAATTACTCCCTGCGCAGAGACAGCCTTAGGGCCTGGGGCGATGCTAGAGCAGTATAAAAGTAAACCCAAAGCCTTGTTCTCTCATCCACAACACTTGCCTTGCTCTCCTTGGGAACAGGTGAGTCTGCAGCTCTTTCTGCTTCTCAACCTTCCTCAGGCTGAGGTCTCACACCAATGGACACCTCAGCCGATGCCTGCTCCATCATGCCACAGCAGGACTTGGAGGTCCTTGTCACAGAAGCAGGAAGGAGGGAGAAGGTCTAGTATGGAGGGAGGCTGGGTCTTCACTGATGTGTCTCCTGAGCTGTGGGCTAGGTGTGGACCTCCTTGGGCTTGGCTACTCTTGTCAGGAGGGTTTTTGGTCTGACAGGAAGGAGAAGCCCATGGGTAGGGAGCTACAGAAATCCCAGCTCTCTGCCCAGCATGTGCCTTTGCTCCCTCATGGTGGTGTGACAGGATGCTCCTCACCCATCTTCCCTGCTCTGCTTCCCCCTGCCCTCTCTCCCAGG